ACAATTTCACAAACATTTATCTATTTAAGGAAGAAGTTGCCGTTTTTCAGGCACTTTTCAACATTAAAAATAATTAAATCCAGTTATTTAAAAACAGTTTGACAAGCAGCCCCACTCCATAGCCCTGGGAGCAGGAGGAAGCAGCTAATTTTGTTATAGCTGTGAGAAGGCAAATTTCTTCAATTTGCCAAAAAAAAAAAAAAAATAGCATAGATATATTTTTTTCCACCCTTACTTCAAATTTGGGATCTCTCCCTCTGATAACACAGCATTTTATGTTACTTGAAATCAGTCCCTATTTAAAGATTCTTTGTGGTACCAAGCTTAGGGAGTTAACTAATAGAGAAGTACATTGCCATGACTGACATTCTTATTACAAAAATTCAGTTTCAGTTGAGTTCCTGTGATCCCCTGAGCAGTTATAAATGCCCTTTACCTGTAATGAGGCAGTAGGCTATGTGTAAGACAAAGCAAACTATCAAATATATATACATTTATATTCATATGAAATACACTGAGGGAAGAGGAATTTTTTCTGAAGTGTTTAGAGCTTCAAAGGAAAACAAAAACACTTAATATTGAGAAATTTCTAATAAATGGTTTAAAATGATTTTGGTTGATTGCCATTCAAAAGTTTTTCCAGAGTTCTCATCTATGTTCTATACAAAATGTAAATAAAAACGTACATGACCAATAAATGTACTAGACATACATCATATATCAATATATACATGGGAATTAATGTTCCTTAAATATACATATCCCCACTTAGAATACATTCCATTAAATAGGCAAAGCAACATCCTTTAATAATAGGTCTAGGATAGCAGCAATTTAATAATCTAGTTACCCAGTTACCTCACAAAATATCATAGGTCCTGAATAGTTCCTGATATGGTATCCCTGGCTTCAAGGAGAACACTCTAGTAACATTTAGTATAGGTCTCATGAAGCACCAGACTGCATTGCTAATGGCAATTATGTAATCCTGTCACTGGAGAATACTTTTTTTTTTTTCCTTCTCTTCAGAACCTGATTAATCAAATCTGACTAATGGTATAGTGGAAAAAAATAAGTCACAATGAGGTGCTTTAAATCTAAGCTATTTAAGATATATAAAACATTTCCATTTTATTTCTTGCATGTTTGTGTTGTTTGATCAGTGCCTTGTACACATAGGAAGTATACAGATTGTCCTAACAGATGCTGAAAAAACAATAAGAAATTATGCTCAGAAGAGAACTGCTCTGTGTTTGAAGCATGTAAATAACCTGATTATCGATTAGAGTTCTTACCAACAGATATGGCATAATATCGTACTAAGTATTGTTTTAAAAGAGTTATGCTTATTCCCCTTGGATAAGTCATGAACTTGCAACCAAAATTCACACATATAATATGCAAAAAAAAATCATTAGGGTGATTTATAATAAACCATTTTAGTCACAGAAGAGTAGAATGGCTTTTAAGTAAACATTTATTTTATGTGTACTATTGGGTATATCCATGCATGTCCAATGGACAGAAAGTGTAGGCAGGCTGCAAGTCATCTGAATTCTAGATGTACATATGGAGTTTAATATTTACTCTTGGGGTATACTCTTAGGTCCAATTCCAGTCTGTTGGGTATATGAACACAGAGCCCAAGAAAGATCCCTGTAATCTATGAAGAAGGTTTTGAACCCTACCAGTCTACCTATATTTCATATGAAACAATTTTGTAGACCACAGCTACCAGCTATAAGAGAGAAGTTGGCCACCTTAGAAAAGTTACATTTGCCAAGGGAGAGCCACTAAATCAGACAACATTGTTTTACATGCTGCAACCCTTTTACTGGGAAGGGACAACTCCCTCTGCGTAGCAGTTTCTCCTGCTTGAAGCTGAGATCACACAGAGAGAAACCTATTGTGTTTCTGCTAGTTTCCCAAGTCATTGTGGGAATGCTGGGAACAGCACACCCCGTAGCCAGCACCATATCAGCTCCAAAGATAAACAGCCTATTTTATAGCTCTTATGAGGATTTCTCCTTACACAGTCTTATCCTTTCCCTCCTTATCGTGCTTCCCCTTATCATGTTGTGGTGATCAAATCAACACAGAACAGACTCTGGCTTCTCAGTTATCTTTTACGTTGCCAATCATGACAACACATTTATTATATTGAATGTTCACTCAGGCTCCTTTAATTTGGCTGGAAGTTTAATAGTCCAGTGGGATCCCTTGGATGATAAAATGATGATGTGTTCATTCTTCCCAAGCAACCCAAATCTCTCAACATCTTCCATAGACATAGCCCGGACTGCAAAGCTCAGTTCTTGTCATACAGGAACACTCACACCCGGGACTCAGCCTTTTCCAATGCTGAAGGCTGGTAGGCAGGTTCAAAGTCTGGACACGGAGGCACTTCCAAAGTTTGGCAAGGAGGAGGAGGCAAGGTCACTAAGTGGGGCTTTATCACTGTGCTGTCTCATACAACTCAGACATCTGTGGCATGTGAACACAAAGACCTTTAGGTTGTGGATGGATCATGCTTTTTCTTCTTGCCCCGACAGGACTTGCAAACACAACAGATTATACATGGGGAAGCCAGGAGTAACAAAGGTGAAGTTACCAAGGCAATGATGCCCAAGCCTACAAGAATCCCCACCACCTGGAAATGTAAAAGAAAAGCACATTTCAGCAGTTAATCTTTTTGATATGTTTACTTATTCCAATTATACCATCTGCTACAGACCAAATGTTTGTGTCCCCCCAGAACTCATACATTGAAACCCTAAACTTTCTTTTTTTTTTCTTTGAGTCAGAATCTTACTCTGTTGCCCAGGTTGGGGTGCAGTGGCACACTCACAGCCACTGCAGCCTCAACCTACTGGGCTCAGATGATCCTTCCACCTCAGCATCCCAAGTAGCTGGAATCACAGGCATGTGCCACCATGCCTGGCTGGTTTTTTTATTTACTGTAGAGACAAGGTCTCGCCAAGTTGCTCAGGCTGGTCTTGAACCCCTGACTTTGGGCAATCCTCTTGCCTCCAGTTCCCAAAATGCTGACAGGTGTGAGCCACTGTGCCCAGCAAAATCCTAAATTTGTAATATGGTGGTATTTGGAGACAGAGTCTTTGAAAGTTAATTAGGTTATAAAGGTACGGCCCTAATGATGGGATCAATGTTCTTATCTCTTATAAGAAGAGATGCCAGAAAACTCCCTTCCTTTCTCTAGTCTCTCTACCATGTTAAGACACAACAAGAAAATGACCATCTTCAACCAGGAAGAGAGGTTTTACCAGAACCTGACCATGCTAGAATCCAGACCTTGGACTTCCCAGCCTCCAGAACTGTGAGAAATAAATTTATGTTCTTTAAGCCTCCAAGTCTATGGTAATTTGTTACAGCAGCCCAAACAAGATACCATCTCAGTCACATAAAATGTTTATATTTATAGGACCAGCAATTATGGAACCAGTTATAATTAGTTCCCAGCAATGGTCTGGACTAGATACATACCAGGGAGATACACAGGACTAAATAAAGGATGAAAACAAACCAAATGCTAACTTAAGCTGTTGCAAGTTCAGTATAATCATGAATTGCTGGTTGGCTCTCTTTCTACCTGAGTTTTCTCAACTGTCTCATGGAGATGTTAATAATGATTACTAGGATATTAGCCTTAACCCTCTCGAAATGAATACAACTTTCAATAAATGCAAAATATGATTAAAATTAAGCCATAACTCACTTTGAACCTACCACATTAACACACAATGGCATATGAAAGGGATCTAAGCCCCAGCAAGGCTCATAGGGTTTTAGAGTACTGCCTTTGATAGTTAACATGCCTCAAAGGGTTTTAGGAAAGTTCTTCCACTGTTTTTCAAGAGGAAAGAACATCTGCCTGCATTCTGCAAGACATTCTTAATTGCTTGGCTGCTCTGGTGCTCCTGCCCCTCCACCTGTCCTCAAGGAGACTGTGCTCTTTGAATGAATTAACTTTGGAAAGTTGCCCCATTACTTTTTGCCAGGCTTGCCCTAGAACTCGCCAGAACCTCCCAGGCTAGGATGGTAGAAGTGAATAGAGTGGGGAAGATGAAGAGGTGGGTTCTTTAATCCATCATAAGTCTGGTTCATGTCATGATTCCTTTAAGGTCAGGGTACCTGTGTTCGGTTCCACATTACCGATGCTCTTGAATGGCCGAGTTTATTCCTGCATGGTCCTTTGTCATAATGTCTAAGGAAAATGTCATTCTGAAAAACAAAGAGAGAAGTTTCAGTAAGCATGTGGTTTTGAATTGAGAGATGCATACAACCCACATCAGATGACCTAGTGGAAGCACAAAGTCTCTCTGGTGATATTAACGACTCCCTCTAGGAATTCTAAGCCTGTAATCTTTATCTTGGTAGTTTTGTAAATCACTGAGTGAAAATGGATCATGATCAATGAGACTATTGATTGATTCTAAAACAAAAAACCCAAAAAACCAGAGTAATGACCTGAACAATTATCTTAGAAAGATAGCTCTGCCAGAGGTGCAATGGAATGGGAAGGCCAGGAGCAAGGCAGCGAAAAGACTGTTGTGACAAACCAGTAACAAGAAAGTGCCAGTAACTGAGGATGGATAGAGAAAAGGAGGTTATGTCGTGAGATATTAACAAGGTAACTAACTAGATGGACAAATGGGGAGAAGAAAACAGAGATGAGGGGAAAGCCACTGGGTAGAAAGAAGGCAACAGTTTCATCAAGAGAAATGACAACACTGAGATGAATTTTGTTGGGAAGATAATAAGTTTGAACATGTTGAACTTGAGAGATAATTGAGATATCCAAGCAGTACTGTTCAAAAGGCAGCTCATTGCATAGATCTAGATCTTTTTGAAAAAAGACTTAAGAATCAGTGCACATGGGGTGGCACACCAAAAAAAAAGACATAAAAGAGAATGAGATTATCCAGGAAGAGGTATAGAATGAGAAGCAAAGAGGCTGTTGAACACAAATATTTAAGAAGGGGTCAAGAGGAGCCTGGAAAGGGAACTGAGACATGGCCAGAAAGGTAGAAGGAAAACCAGCAGAGATGGTATCACTGAACTGGAGGTGGGAAAGGTGTCAAAAGCAGCAGAGAATCTAGGACTGAAGGAATAAGGACTGAAGGATCCATTAGATTGTACCAGTAAGAAATCACTCAAAACCTGAGAAAGAATAGTCAGGGTGTGATTATCTGAACATATTGCAATGATTGGGAGGTAAGCAAATCTCAACAGCAAGAGATGATTAGGCTTTTTTGAAGTTTGGTTTCTAAAGGAAGGAGAGAAATAGAGGGGTAGTAAGGAAAAAGTATAGGCTTTAAAAAAAGTCTACTTATTTTTTAATGGAATACAGTCAAATGCATGGATATGTTGAGACAGTAGAGTGGAAGCTGAAGTCACAAGAGAAGGAAGAGATCATTCATTGAAGGGCACTTAGTCTCTAAGGCTACGAAGGGAATAGAATTCAAAAGCAGACAATTAAGAATACTACATCCAGCCGGGCTCTGTGGCTCAGACTGTAATCCCTCACTTTGGGAGGCTGAGGTGAGTGGATTGCCTGAGCCCACGTGTTCGAGATCCGCCTGGGCAGTGAGACCTCATCTCTACAATAAATCAAAAAAAAAAAAAAAATCAGCCGGGTGTGGTAGCACGTGCCTGTTATTCCGGCTACTCAGAAGGCTGAGGCGGAAGGATCACCAGAGCCCAGCAGGTTGAGGCTGTGGTGGCCGGGAGCGGCCACTACACTCCAGTCTGGGCGACAGAGTGAGACTTCAACTCAAGAAAAAAAAAAAAAAGAATACTACATCCTCTGAATCTCCGAAGATAAGGATCAAGGCAGGAACAAACTCAAACACTCCAGCAACACTCAAAATCCATTTGGTGTCTGTCTCAGGCTTAGATTTTAGACAATCACCTGTCACCTGGTCTCATGCTCTCAAACTTTCCTATAAATAGAGATCTGACATAGAACTCCACTAACCTAGAGAAAAACATCATTACCAATAAGCCAGTGCCCCTGGCTAAAACAGAGAAAATGAAATCTCAAAAAAGTGACCAGAAAAAAAGATGCTTCAATATTTGAAGTTGGTGTGTTCAGCCATTTAACGTCTGTACCATTTCATCTCAATGACCAGAACAGCACAAGTGATAGAACAGTGTGTTCTTTGCAACATCAAGCCCCAAACATATTTCAGTCAAAGGATGCAGATCTGGTACACATATTTATTCCCTTACACTCTGGTCTCCTAAAGAGAACCTCATGGGCTCAGCTCCTTATGGATATGAACCCAATTAATATTCTGGCTAAATTTGGAAAAAAAATATTTTATTTTCATTTGTAATGCATGTGTAGTATACTATCAGTGAAATCCTAACCCAGAATATCACTCATTTAGAATTATGATAGGTCTTAAATATCAAACATAATTGTAGTTAAAGGGACTATAATACATCAATTTTTTTAAAAAAGAGACTCCGACTCAAAACAATAAAAATAAAAAAAGAAAAACATTTATTTCAATCTGAGCTGCTGCACTTCTGGAGTCTAAAATGTTCGTTTTCCTCTCCTCAATTTTTACCTCTTCTTGAAACACTGAAATCAAGCTGATTGTTAAAACTCTTTTTTAAATTTTATTTTATTTGAGGCTCTGTTACATGGACATAGTGTGTAGTGGTAGGGATTGGGCTTCATGTGACCCATCCCCCCAGATAGTGAACATCATATCCAATAGGTAACTTCTGAACTCTAACCCTTCTCCTTACCACCCCCCTTTTCATGTCCCAGTGTCTATTATTTCCATCATTGTGGCCATTTAGCTCCCACATATAAGCAAGACCACGTGGTGTCTGGTCTTCTGTTTCTGAGTTAGTTCACTTAGGAAGATGCTCTCCAGCTTCATCCATGTTGCGGCAAAGGATAAGATTTTGTCCTTTTTTATGGCTGTGTAGTATTCCACAGTGTATATATTCCACATTTTCTTTATCCAGTCAATCATTGATAGGCATGTAGGTTGGTTTCATGTAAATAGTGCTACAATTGATGCACAAATACAGGTGTCTTTTTTATATAATGATTTCTTTTCCTTTGGGTAGATAGCTAGCAGTGGGATTTGCTGGATCCAATGATAACTTTATTTTTGGTTCTTTGAGAAATCTCCATACTGTTTTTCTTAGAGGTTGAACTAGTTTACCATCCCACCAACAGTGTATGAGCATTCACTTTTCTCTGCATTTCTGCACTAATATCTGTTATTTGACTCTTTAAAAATAGTCATTCTGACTGGTGTAAGATGATATCTCACTGTGGCCTTAGTTTGCATTTCTCTGATTGGTGAGCATTTTTTCACGTTTGTTGGCCATTTATATATCTTATTTTGCAGAATGCTTGTTCATGTCCTTTGCCTACTTTTTAATGGGGTTATTTGTCTTTTCTATGTTGAGTTGTTTGATTTTCTTGTAGATTATGAATATTAGCCCTTTGTCAGATAGATGCATTGTTTCCAGATATTTTTCTCATTCTTTAAACTGTCGGTTTACTCTGTTATTTTTCTGTGCAGGAGCTTTTTAGTTTAATTAAGTCCAATTTGTCTATTTTTGTTTTTGTTGTGTTTCCTTTTGAGGGCTTAGTCATAAATTCTTTGCCTAGAACAATGTCCAGAAGGAAAACCTAGGTTTTCTCCTAGGATTTTTATAACATTTAAGTATTTAATCCATCTTGAATTATTTTTCATAGATCGTGAGAGATAGGAGTCCAGTTTTATCCTTATGCATATGGCTAGCCAATTTTCCCAGCACCATTTAATGAATAGGGTGTCATTTCCCCAGTGTATATTATTGTTGAATTTGTCAAAGATCAGTTGGCTGCAGTTGTATGGCTTTATTTCTGGGTTCTTTATTCTGTTCCATTGATCGATCTGTCTATTATTGTACCAGTACCATGCTGTTTTAGTTACTATAGTCTTTTAGTATAAATTGAAGTCAGGCAATGTGATGCCTCCTAATTTGTTCTTTTTACTTAGGATTGCTTTGGTTATTTGGGTTCTTGTTTGGATCCATATAAACTTTAGAACTGTCTTTTCTAGTTCTGTGAAAAATGATGTTGGTATTTTTATAGGAAATTCATTAAATCCATAGATTGAGAACATGAGTACTGCCATCTGGCTCTCCTCTGCTGCCCCCTTGAGCTTCACCACTTGCTCCACCAACTACTGGTCCCTGGACTCCATCCAGTCACCCAGTCTCTGGCCCATCAGCAGCACAGTCAGCATCTATGTACGCACTGGGGCTTAGGCTCCACCAGCTTCCAGGGTAACTGGTGGTCCAGGGGCCTGGCTGCAAGGATGGCTGGGAGTCTAGGGGGCATCCAAAGCAAGAAGGAGGCCAAGCAAGAGCTGAACAACCACCTGGCCTCCTACCTGGAGAGGGGGAGGAGCCTGGAGATCAAGAATCAGAGGCTAGAGAGCAAAATCCGGGAATACCCAGAGAAAAAGGGACTCCAGTCAGAGACTGGGGTATTACTTCAAGACCATCGAGGACCTGAGGGCTCAGATCTTTGCAAGTTCTATGGACAATGCCCACATCATTCTGTAGATTGACAATGCCCATCTTGCTGCTGGTGACTTTAGAGTCAAGTATGAGACAGCTGGCCACACATCAGTCCATGGAGAACGACATCAAATGGGCTCCACAAGGTCACTGATGACACTAATGTTACCCAGCTGCAGCTAGAGACAGAGATCAAGACTCTCAAAGAAGAGCTGCTCTTCATGAACCACAAGGAAGAAGTAAAAGGCCTACAAGCCCAGATTGCCAGTTCTGGGTTGACCATGGAGATAGATGCCCCAAATCTCAGGACCTCAGCAAGATCATAGCAGACATCCAGACCCAGTATGATGAGCTGGCTCAGAAGAACCAAGAGGAGTTGGACAAGTACAGATCCCAGCAGATGGAGGAGAGGACCCCAGTAGTTACCACGTAGTACACCAAAATCACAGTTGCCAAGATGATGCTCAGGGAGCTGAGACATACAGCACAGTCCTTGGGGATTGATTTGGACTCCATGAGAAACCAGAAGGCCAGCTTGGAGGACAGCCTGAGAGAGGTGGAGGCTTGCAAAGCCATGGAGATGGAGCAGCTCAACGGGGCTCTACTGCACCTGGAATCTGAGCTGGCACAGACCTGGGCAGAGAGGGCCAGCGCCAGGCCCAGGAGTATGAGGTTCTGCTGAACATCAAGGTCAAATTGGAGGCTGAGATCGCCACCTACCACCGCCTGCAGGAGGACAGTGAGGACCTCAGTCTCGATGATGCTCTGGACAGTAGCAGCTCCATTCAGACCATACAAAAGACCACCACCCACAAGCAAATTGATGTACGAGACCAATGACAGCACAGTTATGAGGTGTTGAGGCAGCAGGAGCAGGGTACCCTCTGGGGAAGCAGGAGGCCAACAAAAAGTTCAGAAGTAAAAAAAAAATCTGTAGATTGCTATGGGCAGTATGATCATTTTAACAATAATGATTCTTCTGATCCATGAGACAATATGTTTGTACTGTCCACAATTTATTTTATCAGTGTTTTGTAGTTCTCCTTGTAGAGTTCTTTTACCTCCTTGGTTAAGTGTATTTCTAGGTGTGGGTGCGTGTCTGTTGTAAATGAGATTGAGCTCTTGATTGAGCATCATTGGGATATAGAAATACTACTGGTTTTTGTACATTGATTTTGTATCCTGAGACTTTAGTAAAGTCATGTATCAGGTTTAGAAGCGTCTTGGAGGAGTCTTTAGGGTTTTCTAGGTATATAGTAACGTCATCTGTGAACAGAGAGTTTGACCTTGCTGATTTGAATGCCTTTTATTTCTTTCTCTTCTGGATTGCTCTTGCTAAGACCGCTAGTATGATGCTAATTGGAGTGGTTGATTAACTCATACATGTCATCTCAAACGACTTATCTAATTTTCAGTTAAAAATGAGGCATGCAGTGGGCTGTAGATATCATATATAACTGCTTACTCACTAACATGTATGATACTGAAACACTACACAAACTACTTGTCAGATTAAAGCAATCCAAGCAACCAAAAGGAAGAGCTGAGAAAAGGATGGCAACTCAACCATGACTGAGGGCTTGTGCTGAAATGGATATATCTTATACATCCAAACTGCCAAAATAAGAAATATCTAAAGCCAGGCTCGGTGGCTCAGCCTGTAATCCCGCGTCTTTGGGAGGCTGAGGTGAGTGGATTGCCTGAGCCCGCGGGTTTGAGACCCGCCTGGGCAGCGAGACCTCATCTCTACAATAAATCAAAAAATCAACCAAGCGTGGTAGCGCGTGCCTGTAGTTCCAGCTACCTGGAAGGCTGAGGCGGAAGAATCGCTGGAGCCCAGCAGGTCGAGGCTGCAGTGGCCACTGCACTCTAGTCTGGACGATGGAGTGAGACTCCAACTCAAAAAAAAAAAAAGAAATATCTATAAACAATTTACACTACCCCAAACTTCAAAAGACCAGAATCGAAGAAAGACCTCACTAATCCCTCACACCATCTTTTGACTCTGTAGTTACCATTAACTTTGGCATAGGGCTGACTAAAATCAAATCTAAATTGAGAAGATATGCTTTGTGAATGATGAGGGGAAATAAGCCACGCCCTTTGATCTGAGAAGGAAACATTGACAAAAGAGTAGCAATAAATCTGTCACACCAATGAATGAAAGAGAATGAGTTGCTTAGTTAAAAGAAACCATGAATTTGAATCGTTTTTTCTTTAAATTCAAAAAGAAAACGACCTAATAAGAAAGACAGCATAATCGCCCCCTGCCAAAGATGTCCATGGCCTAATCCCTAGTATGTAAGAGTGTACCTTACATGGCAAAAAGAATTTTGCAAGTGTGATCAAATTAAGGACTTTAAGATGAAGGAGATTATCCTATATATCCATATGGGCCCAATATGATCACATGAGTTCTTAAAGGCAGAGAACTTTTTCCAGCTGTCATGAGAGGAGGGATGACCACAGAAAAGGGGTCCAAGAAACGTGATGCTGCTGGCTTTGAAGATGGAGAAAGGGGGCCACAAGCATGCAGCCTCTAGAAAGTAGAAAAGGCGAGAAAACAGATTTTCCCTTAGGGCCTCCAGAAAGGAAAGCAACCCTGCCAACATCTTGATTTTAACCCACTGAAACCTATGTCAGACTTGTAACATTGCAGAACTATAAGATATCACATTTATGTTGTCTAAGTCACTCATGTGGTAATTTGTTGCAACAACAATATAAAACTAAGGTACAAGAGTCCTTTATATAATAGAGTGAGATAATGCCCAAAAAGCAGGAAACGCCCCTAAAACAAAAGCTTGCCTGTAAAGTTAAGGGGACAAATCCAATGTAATAAAAAAGAGGTTTTATAGATATTTAAAGTAGCAGACTTAGAACATCTCATGAAAAAAATAAATTCCTTTTGCAGGACAAAAATAGTTTCAATATTTTAAAAGAAAAATCTGTAGGATGCCAGTTGTGGAGCAGATACAGTAAGAAAAGACCACAGGATGAACCTCTTCTAGGTGGCACTTACGTCCAGGTTCTGGAGACAGTACCAGCAAAACGTGTGCTTGCAGTTTTTACACATCATCTGAGCACAGCCTTCATTGCGTTCAATATAAACCCGGCAAACTGGGCATTGCTTAATGGGAGCTTCTGCATCTGTTCCAAAGAGGGCCCTGCAAGCAAAATGAATGATAAACTACATTCAGTTGATGGTCATCAACCAAAGTCCCAGGGCTTTCGTAACGAACGCTTAGGTAATGAACTCTTAGTTACCCATGCTTAATTCACTTCCAAAGAAAAGGGTGTGGGTAAATAGAAAAGAGACAGATTATTAGATGTGCAAACAAACCAAACAAGAAGGAATCTTAAGTTATTGATTTGGATTTTGAGTAAAATATATAATTACACTTTCCATGGCTGATTTAATGTACTATTTTGCCAAATTAATATTTCATTCCCTAAACACACATTGCCTGAATAAGAAATGGAAGGAATCAGCTACACAGTAGAGAAGCTAGCTTAGGATCCAAACCAGGCATAGAAAATCTAACAGTTTGTTCATTAAAAAAATGAAGAAGGAGGTCTCAATAATCAACACTTTAAAATAAATGTTCAATATTATTAAAAAGACCTTCTCCAAACAGATGAACAGGCTAACACAGGATCACAGCCCAAAAGGGCACAGAAAGTAAAAAGCAGCACCAAGTGGCATGGGAAGGAAGAAGAGCTGGGTGAGTCACAGCTCTGGGTGATACTTTAGCTACTGTTTATCAGAACCTCCACCCAGCACCCAGGGAGAGACATCCAATGCACAAAGTGCAAAATCTATGACCAAATTTGGTACAGACATAACCTTATACAGTGGTGAGACAATTACTATGGTTTGAGCACCCCTAATCCAAAAACCTGAAATACAAAATACAAAACTTTGTGAGCGCTGATGTGATGCGCAAAGCAAATGCTCATGGGAGTATTTCAGATTTTTGGATTAGGGATTGTCAACCAGTAAGTATATAATGCAAATATTCCACAATCCAAAACACCTCTGATCCCAAGCATTTCAGATAAGAAATGCTCAACTTGTCTCTTAATTCCCTTTTTTTTTCAAGTGGGGAGACAGACTCATAGAAGCTGAGTGACTTGTATGAGATACATAGATACCATTGACCATGTCAGGATTCAAATCCTCCTTTCCTCTGAGTTCTTTACATTGCCCTGTGATAATCAGAAAGCTGTGGCAGTAAAAATGTAGGTGGCACTGGTATAAATCTAAGAAGGTGCATGCCTGTCATGTATATTAATTCTTTTCTTCCCCTGTTGATTTGTTTGTTCTGAGATTCAGAAACAGTATCATAGCCAGGTAGGATTACTATTCCTGAAGACTGGTTCTACTCACTCTGAGGGCACTTGGTGACTAAGCCAACTGGGCTATAACACTGGTATTTTGTTCTTGCTGATGCAAACAGCCACAACCTCAAACAAAGCAAGGGATCAGGCACAGAGGTCTCTCACTCTGGGTCCTACTGCTGCTCATAAAAACCCTCCATACTAAAAGAAACAGATTCAATTGCTTCTCATCATAACAAAATATCAGCCTTGGCACTGTCTTTTCAGAACATAAAGTTTTAAGAGAGAAACTCAAGCGCGCTAGGTGGCTCAGCCTGTAATCTCAGCACTTTGGGAGGCCGAGGCAAGTGAATTGTCTGAGCCTGCGGGTTCTAGATCAGCCTGGGCAACTTGGTGAGACCTCACCTCTACAATAAATTAAGAGAGAGACAGAGAGAGAGAGAGAGAGAGAATCAGAGAGAGAGAGAGAGAGAATCTCCCTCTGTTTTTTGGGGGGGTGTTTTTGTTTTTGTTTTTTTAGTTGGAGTCTCACTCTGTCGCCCGGACTGGAGTGCAGTGGCCTCTCCCGGCCACCGCAGCCTCGACCTGCTGGGCTCCGGCGATCCCTCCGCCTCAGCTTTCCAAGTAGCTGGAACTATAGGCGAGCGCTACCACACCCGGCTAATTTTTTGATTTATTGTAGAGATGAGGTCTCGCCAAGTTGCCCAGGCGGGTCTCGAACCCTCAGGCTCAGGCAATCCACTCACCTCAGCCTCCCAAGGCGCAGGATTACAGGCTGAGCCACCGAGCCCAGCTTCTCCCTCTGTTACCTAAACATGTAGGACTTGACACCCTTTGCAAGCTGGTGGTTTAGTCAGGTAAGGAAATAATTTCTGTCACATTTGGCAGGCAAGAAGAACAAGATATATTAATTATAAGCAAAGAAGAACAGATACCAATAGTAGTAGACATGGCATCTAAGCAAATAGCCATGGACAAATCATGACTTCCTACTGAGAAGCTGTGGTGTATGGTACCTCTCTATCTAAAGAGAAAGTAAAACTCATACACACTCTAATTTCAGCAATATCTGGAAGAGTCTCCTGGGGCAAATAACTAGAAATGCTTTTTTGTTTATTCTTTGTTAGCAACTTACCTGTTCTGAGGCATTTCTCAGGGAAGTTCTGCAGAAAAAAAAAAAATCTCTAAACATTATCACAATATCACTCTTTCTCCAAGCAACATGTGTTGAATTTCTAAGAAAACTGGTAGATAATACCAAAGACAAAGTTTCCTCTCTTACCCATGTTCTGTTGGCAGGACAACAGGCTGACTGTCTCTACAGGAGACTTCTGCATGCCAAGCATCCTTGCAACATGAACAGAATTTCAGGTGGCAAGAAGGGCATTCCACCAGCACAGGCTGTCCTGGGTCACTCGACGCAACTGGGCATACTGTCTGACACTCTGCAATAGGACACCATGTTCGGTAGGGGTCCAGGTGAACTTCTAAAGCACAAAGAAAGAAAATGTGATGATCTATCTGTCTTTGACTCGAGCTTGAGGCTTTCTTGCTTTCATTTACCCTCTTTCATAAACTAACACTTATGGAAATATAATATAACCAAGGGTAATGATTTCTACTATTAGTCTTCATAATGAATCCAAACCTACCACCCACAAAGTCACTCAGCCCTGTCACATTTCTCAAAGTAGGCATTCATGGTGACCACTGCCTTTGTGAACAGAACAGAAATGTTCTCTCTAACCAAAATTCACAACTCTCTTAGAATATTTCTCACCTTTGAGTCCTCAAAAATAGGCAAAAATCTCAAATCCCTTCTACTATTTGGGCACTAACCTGGACATAAAGAATAGTCAAAAAAAAAGGAAAGGTATTTTTCACAAAAGATTTTTACTTTTGTGGGCACTGAGAAATAAGTAGTGAGGTTTCTTCCATTGTATTACTGGGAATTAAAGAATAAGGAAGAATCAAAACAGTTTAGAGACCAAACAGTATCCATCGTAGCCTAGCCAAGAAGTCAGATTACCTTGTCAATTTGGGTATTCTGCTGCCCTACTAACGTGCTATTTAGGGGCAATTTATAAAAGACCCTCACATTCTAAAAACAAAAAGGAACTTCTACAGATGATAATGATATTGGCTTGATCCATATGACATGCATTAAAGAAGATGGGGTTGGCATGTGGACAATCATCTGTTTAAATAGTTACAAATTTTGCTTAGTTTTTTTTTTCTATCCATTAACAGACCCATATTCTTTCTTTCTAATATGACCTTTAATGTATGTATTAAAAATGTATATTATTTGAGGCGTAGAGTAGCCCTTTTTTTCTCTGAACTCATGTATTTTGGAAATTTTGAACCGATAAGATTCTAGGCTTAAACCTGCTAAAATTCATGGTTCCTAGAAATGTATACGCAGCAGATAAATTAATCCAAAGGGTGGTGGGAAAAGGAAGTAAAGGTATTAAGTAGGAGTTTAGTTTTTAAAGTGAATCATTTTACAAGTGAATGTCAGGAGATAAAGTCTGAAGTGTTCCAGTAAAATACTGTTGCCATTGATGTCTTAGCTAGAAAATGGAATAATTGGATCTATAAGTTTTCATTCAAAAACAGCATCCTTAAATATATGGTCTTATCTAATAATTCTAGGGTAAAGGGTTAAAAATGATGATTCTTTGACACAAATACGAGGGGAATCCCCAAAACCTGCAACTCATTTATTTAAAAAATTGTGTATTTTTTCTTACATATACAAGTTTATGTATTTCAGTCACCTTCAATAGGTGTATTGCATCACCCCATTTGATGCAATACACCCATTGAGATGCTTTTTCCATTGCTCAAAACAGTTTTGAACGCATCAATTTTGATGCCTTTTAGTGCTTCTACCATTTTTTGTTTTGCCTCTTCCACATCAGCAAAACATTTCCCTCTGAGGACTTTTTTCATTCAAGGAAACAAAAAAGTCACTCAGGGCAACTGAATAGGGAGGCGGGACATGGGGATCACGCTGTTTTTGGTCAGCACAGTGTAGGCAGGTGCGTTTTCATAGTGGAAGAACCAGTCACCTGTTTGTCACAACTCAGGATGTTTCTTCCCCAAATTGCGACCTTCTCAAAACTTACAGATAAAAACTTTCATTGACCATTTGGTCCAGAGGAGCAAATTCTGAGTGTACTACAAGGGGCCTGCCCTCCAAAAAGATAATCCTGGAGATTTGGGGGTCCCCTCCCTCCTAAAAGCACAAATATAATTCTATGATTCACAGATGCTCAGACCCCAAGGGAGGGACCTGCTAAGATCTCTAAAACTTTGAGAAATCAAGGAAATAGTGACAAATATAGGGTCCAAGATCTTGAACATTATTTCCATTAAATACCATTTAATATTTTCTTCGAAACTATTATCCCTGCTTCACAAATACTAAACCCAAAGAAATGAAGGCTGGTATGTAACTTAGAGCTAAGGGCTCTCACATCAAGAATCTACTTACCATTTCTTAGAAATTAGAGGTCTTTTAAAAGTTTGATGAAAAAGAAGGAAAAGTAAGGAAAAGTTAAGACACACATTACTGTTAAAATTTATAGCATCCCTAGTGATCACCTTAAGAAGACACAAGGATGCGACTTGTTATCCTAACGCTAACTGATTAAAATACTTAGCAGAGTACTGAAAAGAAGAAAACAAACAACTCCATTATAAAATGGGCAAAAGATATGAACAGACACA